TTAAGAACAAATCTGTGCGTACGAACGCTTCTTGCATGAGGCCCAATGAAACTGAATTTGCATAATTTGAAATTGAATACGTTGGTTTGAAAATGAATTTTATTARATTGAAACTGAATTTAAAGTTTTGTATCAGAATTAATTTGCTTTGAAACTGTATTTTGGTTTATTAAAAATTCAGTTTGACTACTTTCACTTTCTGTTCTAAAATTCAGATTTTTGTGTCACATCCTGGTCCTTGAGAAAGCCAGGCAGAGTAATCAAACACAGATGGATCACATATTGATCAGATGCTGCTGCTGACTGATCCATGATGTGATGTAAACATAACATTTTCTACATATAGGTGAAATTAATCACTGCAATAAAATAACTGTTTTTTCACTTTTACAGTGGATTGCATCAACTCTGTTACATACAGAAGGGAAACGTCACCAAAGTGAAACATAAATCTGTGGATCTGTGTTTGATTACTCTGGCTGGCTTTCTCAAGGACCAGGATGTGACACAAAAATCTGAATAATGGAACAAAAAGTGACAGTAGTCAAATTGAATTTTTAATAAACCAAAATACAGTTTCAAAGCAAATTAATTCAAATTCAAAACTTTAAATTCAGTTTCAATTTAATAAAATTCATTTTCAAACCAATGCATTCAATTTCAAATTATGCACATTCAGATTCAATCTGAGCAATTCAAATTCAATTCCTGCTGGCGCAAGATTTATCCCATGGTTCTCAGCCCAGAATTCAAAACTCCTGCCTCTCTGTTGGTATGGGGGTGCATTAGTGTCTCTGTCATTGGTAGCTTAGAGCTGAAAGGAACTATGAGGATTTTAGAACCTCTGCTCCAGATAATGGTCCTGATTTAAAACTTGCTTGTGTTGCTTTTCTGTGAACTCTGTAGTTGCTAAAAAAAGGAAACTGGGTCATTTGTTTGAGAGTGAACCTGGAGGAGCTGAAAACCTTTCAGAGAAGACTCAAACTGTGGTAATAAGATGACTTGTATTAAAACTTTCACAGGAAAGTTTCAGTTCTTTTTTGTTTGAATCTTGTTGTGTTTTTGTTTCTTTACTGAAGAGTAAAAGCTGCTGGTCAGAGGAGGACGGAGGCAAAAAATCTCAACCATCCAGTCCAGCCAGGAGGGATTCTGAAAAGGTGTGAGTTACGCAGTCAGGATTACGTACTTGGTGTAAAAGTTCTGCTTAAATTTAAAATAAAAAATATGTATATTTTTAATTAGTTGGAAAACGGAGGCGACAAAAAGCAGCAAACTACAGACACAGAAGATCAGGTGAGTGTTTCTGTCCTCCAGCCTTAATGAATCATTTTACATTTACTAATTCAGCTACAGCCRTTTAAAACTTCTGCCTCGCAGAGTTCGGAGTCAGAAACACGGAGAGTCCAGAGCAGAAACGAGAGCGAGGAGTCTGCATGGCCGTCGGATCAGAACAAAAACAAAAACTCACTCGGTTCTGTGGAAACAGAGGAAGGTTAGTGAGAAAATCAGCAACGTAATTATTTATATCTGTTTGTAAAGCTGGGGGTGGTGCGGTGCTTGTTTTGTGTTCAGGGTGAATAGTTTGTGTTTTTCAGCAGAGCGGTCTGGAGGGTACACAGAGGTGCCTTTGGGAGCTCTGGACATCGCTGCTGCCGACAGTCTGACTCTTTCTCCTCATGCTGGTGAGTTTAGAACGGTTAGTCTCTCATTACTGAATCATATTTACAGAACTGAAGGATTTTTATTGAAACGATTCAAAGAAGCTGCTGAAGAAACAAAACAATTAGCTTCCTGAACATAATTTATCAGAAAAAATGAAACAAGGTTGATTTATTGTTGAATTTAATTCTGATTTTAAAGATCAGGTTCTGAACCACATCTGCTCAAAAGTGTTTCACTGTCTTTAGAAACATTTGAAACTATAAATAAATTAACCTGCAGCTTAGTTTATTTTTATTCTGCATAGAAGTTATTTTTTGTTCTGAGAAACCAGATTTAGTGTCATAAAACAACCATTTAATGCAAATAACACTTTTTATGCAAAAATTGCCTCTTGTAAAATAAATTTGTTTGCATTTTGGATTAAAAAATGAATTATTTAAGTTCATAAATGTGAAACTTGGCATTCTCTCTGCAGAGGGAAGTGATGCAGGAGACATGGAGCACCTGGAGGAGCTTCCTCTGTGCAGCTGCAGGATGGAGGCTCCTCGCGTGGACAGCACCAGTCACCGGGCCAGCAGGCAGTGCATGGCTACAGAGAGCGTCAACGGAGAGGTTTGTCCATCTGAAAAAACGTAATGTTATGCATATAACTACTGTTCCCTGAAGGAAAGGAACGAGGTACAACATCATGTATGGGAACCACGCTCCTGCGTGT